GCCAGAAGAGTAGTCTAACACCTCTCAATTGACATTGTTCAATTCTTGATGGATCTCCAGTTCTTGAGAGGAACTTGTCGTACGCCCGTTCGTTCAATTGGACATCGCCGCCGTCGCCCGCTGGACATATCGCGTACCAATGTCTATCGTCGCATGTGCATCTCCAGACTTTCGCGATGTAAGGTTCAACTTGGGAATCTGATTCAGAGATAGGCGGAGATGGACTTCTTGAGACTGCAGATGATAGATGAGGCGTGGGCTCCGACAGACTCTGAAAGGTGTTTGTTTGTTGAATCTTGTCCTTGTAGATGCTCCGCGACGATGAGGAGGTCGTGATGCTGCACGTATTGGTTGGAGTTGAATCGCCACTTTTCCCTTTCGTTGTAACTGTATCATATTTCAGTCATGCTCGATGAGGAACGCTGTGCCGTTCAACACTCACCCACAGCCTTTTTCAAATACCGAACACAGTCTCTGATCCTCCTCTTCAGGTTTTCGACAAGATTCATTGCTGAGAGCTTTGCCGACGTATCTCAATCGACGTTGTAAGGATACCGGGTGGTGTGGAAGTGGCAAGAAAGTGACGTGATACTGTGTCAAAGACGAGACAAGAACTGAAGACGCACGCTCAACTGTGAGCGATTCAGGGCAGCCGTCTGCCCTCACTGCAGGAGAATGATCCGCCGCCCTCAGACGTGCGAAAAGGCTCTTACGGCTGCGACGTGCTTGGCGAAGACAGTGAGGTCATGAGAACAAAGAAGTGGTACGTTTCAAAAAATATTAATATCGCGGGGAACAGTCGTATCGTTGGTTGTAGCCGCTGACCCTTTTGGCCCTCCGGTAGCCCCGTTGTATTTTAGCCCCCAACACCTCCTCTCTGCACCAACATGGGCGGCCGAGACCATGCGATGCAGGTTTCCTTCATATCAGTTTGCGAATGTCGGCCCCTGAGCACCAACAGCCGGCATTCACCGCCTGTCAACTTTCGGGGCATTCTCCTGATTGATCGCTGCTCCCTGCGTGGTATTTCTGCTTGCCCCCACTTCCACAACCGTGATTGCTGCCGCGATTTCTTGTCACACACAGAGCAATAATCTACACGGCTTACCAACACCCGACCACCTCGGTCTGCTCAACGAATGCAACCGATCTGAGGGGGGCCCAACAGCCCGCAGCTGCGTCGACCCCAAGGTATCCTTGCTCGAAGGATCTCCAACCTCCCTGGGTCCTAATCGGTTCTCGTCCATCTTGCCGTAGCACTGGCAATGCTTTGATTACGCTTCCAATACTTTCGACGGTTTGCGGTTCAGACTTTGATCAGGCGTGCTGTTCGTTGAATTGAAACCTGAAAATGAACAGAAAAAAAAGGTGGCACATCGGAATTCTTTCTTCCTTTTTAAGCTTTCTTCTCTCAGAGGCCAAGACGTCTTCCCTAAAAATATTTTGCGCGTGGATCATCAATTTCGTTCCTCAGCCGTACGTTGAATGTCTGCATCACACTCCCTGGCTACTCTTGCAAAACCCGTCGGACTGCACGACACTTCAAGCAAAATTTAAAACTCACATGCAGTGGATACGTCTTGATTCCCTTGGCCTGTCATGTTAGCTAAATCTAGAGCAGCCAGCCATCCTCGCGCCGACCAAGTCCATATCCCTAGGCATCCATTTAGGCTTGGATGGTTTCATCGCCCTTTTCTCCCTGTTAGGTATAGGCCTTCCAACATCATAATGAGGATCGAAACTTGAGTTTGCAAGCTCTACTTCACGAATCTGGCCGTGGTTAGATATTGTTACACGTGGTTGGATCGCAGACAGGAAGTCGAGAGTACGTACTTCTGGGATGCTTTCCACTGCATCAATCTGTTCATCCAGGATGGTTATCTGCCAGTACAAGACTCCTGATGGATGGCCTGAAGTTTTACGGCAATGTGTAGCCTCCATACGCGAGCAGTGGCCTACAATGTCGAGGAGGTTTCTGGCCCCCCGCATGGCCACATCATGATCATTCCAGCACTCTTCTGTTCCCCACGCGATGTACCTTTCTCGACTAGGCTTACAAGAGCCTTGCATCAAGGTTACAATCATGCTTTGAGTCTTGTATTGAGAAGATATACACACCTTCATTGCGCGCAGCGTATTCCTGTGGGGCTCCCACGGGCGAAAGAATCTCGTGAAAATTACACTAGGCGTCTTGGCTTCAAGCAATCTTCATACCTCTGCCCAACTAGAGACTTGTTCAGCCTTTTCCATAGTAAGCCTTACGCGCCAGTTTATGACACCAAGGTCCCTTGAGTCGAAAACTTCAACATACGAGGAGCCGCCACAGATCGAGACGAGCTTGTCGTATGTCCGCTCGTTCAGATGCTTATCAAGACCATCCGTTGCTGGCCACAGAACGTAATACTTGCTCTCTGAGTGACATGTACATATCGAGGGAGTTGAGACGGCATATCTCTGATTCAGATCGGACGGACCGGGCGGCGACAATTCTCCTCTCGGCTGCGTTACCATTGCGGTACGCGCTGTGTCGTGGTCGATTTCCTTGAGAACAGAACCGCGCAAGCTGGCCAAAGAGCTGTACATCGATAGCCTTGAATTTGTGGGGCTGAGTTTTCCCATCACGTCGGGGTTTCGATATTGAGTTTGAGGTACTGAAGTTCCGATGCTTCAACAGATGCATTCGTGCGGAAAGTAATATCAGCGAAGGGAGGTTTCAGACCTACCTATGACATTTTCCAAGTATCGAATTCGATTTTTGATGGTTCTCTTCAGCTTGCTAACGTACATCATTTCTCCAGCTTTTGCTTCGAAGCTGCATTTGGGTTGGAGAGCGATGCAACAATTCGGGCTACCTTCGCCAATCCTTTCCAGCGCGGGGCTCGTGAGTAATTTGTGCGGAGACATCGTTGTACAGAGGCGGTCCTGAAAACAGGCCAGCAGCCAAGGATTCTGATGATGTTGTAGCTGTAGGTTGCTATTTTTGACGCGGGGGCTGCTTGAATGATGTTGGCTGCAGCTGCCCAAGAATCGTCTGCTGAACGAGTTCTGGCCCCCGAAGCGTGCCTTGCCCGCCGTCACGCTACCAACACTCTTGAAGATCCAATCAACTTGGCTGTGTGTGTGGTCGATCGATATCTCAGCTGCGTGATTGATTACTGGCGAGCACCAACAGACGCCAATGCTGCGGGTTTCATTCCTTCCTTGACCCGCCCCGTCAAGACACGGAGCAACACCCTCTTCTGGTCTAGCCGCATTCAAGTATTCCAGTTCTGCATTTAGATTACCACAAACATACAAGAAACACAAAGCGCCGTGTTGAATCCTAACGTTTGCACGCCATAATCTTGCTGCGAAGCCACTACTTAATCCACCATTGAGGCCAGCTGTTGACGTTTCCCAGTTAATCACACCTTCACCTTAGCCCAACACCCCCCTGACGAGAGCTCTCATACTTTTTGAAGGGAGGACATGATATAGCGTGAATGAAGTCCACTGCTTCTATTTTCTGATCCCTGATTTACTGGTTTCTTTACTATTGTTATTCATGTCCCTGAGGCGTAAATGATTGAAGTAACAGCCTCATTTGCGAATTGTGGGAGACCTATCTACAGCTTCCCTCGGACCCCGCACTATGTTCATGCGGAGCCCCTCGTGAATTCCAGCTAGCATGAGGAAGCCAATATCGGCTGATCTCTTGCTTTTTGGGTTTAGGTCTCCAAATCAATTAGGCTCGAAGTACAAGCCGGCATGTGACGGAGTATAAACACTCTCCGAGGGCGTCCCTCACCCTCTGACCTGCCGTGCGCTTTTCAACTCTCACAGAGCCACATACCTGCTCGATTCAGATGCGAGTTTAGTCCCATTGATTATGGAATCATTCCCCTCGACAGCTTTGTTATACTGGCCAAGGAACTGGCCAGATCGCGAGACCTTGGACCTCCAGTCACTCATTTGTACAGTCTGGCCTCAATATCTCACTCTTCAAGAGGCCTGTGGCATACTTGACCAGTTTCACGGGCCGGTCTGGACGCTTGACAAGCAGGTTCTTTGGACAGGTTTAGGTCAAAAGTACACCCTGGTTGATTCTTACGCACGAGAACATGGAATGCAGACTTTGCGAATTGCTATGGGACCTTTGATGGATCCGCAAAATCCCGCCTGTCTCCAAAGTCAGAAGTCAACCAAAGAATGGGGGAGATACATCAGGGGCGCCTCACTCATCTTCTCCTGGCGTATATCACAAGGAGATGTCGCTACTGTACTGACGCAGCCCCCGCCAACCCGCTTCAATCCACATGGACGAACAGCCTACCAGGAAATTGAGGAGCCCGTTCTCAAGGGCATTCTTGGAAATCGACCTGTTGATCGAATCCTGGCAGTACATCCAACAATCGAGATCGCTCAAACGTTTCCACCGTATGAGATATTTCCACAGGATCATCAGGACATCTGGAAGGATGTTTTCGGGGGTGTCAAATGCTCTAAGCATGCCTGGAGGGGTGTTGATAGGAACATACGTACGGGTTCACCTGTCCAAAAACCTCATACCTGGAAGACTTCCTGGTTAGCAGGCAGCTTTACCAAAGTGGGCTATCACGTCAGCGGCCTATGGGTTTCTCGGCAACGAAAATCCTAAGTCTCGCTCTGTCGAAATATTTCTCTGCGGGTTTTTGATTTGCGCTGGCATATCCTCGCAGTTGTCGTTGGTCATTCTGGTAGTTTTCTTTCTTCTAGTGGCTCAAGGAACGGTTGGAATTCCTTCAATCTCCAGGTATTTTGTCAAAATCGAACCCGAAGAGTGTTGTGACCTCAAATTGGCGATTCCATCCACCGACAGCATCATTACCAAGGGCTCGATTAGAAAGCTCAAAGCTTTGGAGACCAACAAGAATAGGCTGAAGGCTCCGGTTTCCCCGAAGGCAGCAGTGGGAGCAGATCCACCCAAGTCCCCCGACAGGGAAGAAGTAGCAAAGCTGATCGATCCTGCGAAGGTACCCAAGATGAAGGATACTGCTGAGCAAGCTTTATCATCTCCCACGACTTTAAAGACTCAACCACCACCGGTCGAGCCCATTACGCTGCTAGTGAATCAATCTAGCGTCCAAACAAAGGGAGAAGTTGAAACGACTCTGAAGGAATTGTCCAAGAGCAAAGCAGCGGGAGCCACCGAGGTAACACCCGAGTCGTCAACACATGGACTGGACGTCCAAACTCCTAATGAGCCCAGAGCTGAGCCGCACAAGAAGAAGAAGAAGAAGACAAAGAAGAATATGGACGGTGGAGAGAACCTAGTTGCAAATGGAAAACCGAAGAAGTCACACAAGAAAACGGAAAAGGAGAATGTCGACTGTAAGGGGAAAGCCAAGTCTCAAGCTTTTCCAGACACCAGTCTGTCTACTGTTCCAGAAAAGCCGGTGGCTGACGGCACCAAGAAGGTCAAGAAGAAGAACAAAGTAACGCCTATAAAGGTGAAGGGCATAGCCTTAACAACAAAAATATCTTCCAAGGGAAAAGAGGCTGAGAAGAGCAAGGAAAGTGAAAGCCAGCCGGGAAAATCAACCAAGCCTCGTACTTCAGCGAAATGAACAGCGGTCTAATGAACTGGGGAAATTCGCTTCAACTTTTACTAAGAGTTCAGATGCCATTGTCTCCCATGCATCTTCTAACGGCACGTCAAGTTCTGGTGGGCCAATGACAATCTGTATTTGAAAAGCGTTCCGAGCCGTGGTTGAAGTGATCCCGCTTACTCAGCTGCTCCCATGGATTGGTTGTATGAGTAGTCGCAACTTGCCAATGTCCAGCCCTGATGAGTCTGACGACCCGCATTAGATCCCAGACCAAGATCGTACCTAAGGAAAAAGGTGCGAGGCAATCTTGCTACTCGTGGCTTCGGAGTTTCCTACTAATCAATGCATCAGAGTAGTCCCTGTCCTGATTGGGCGGCTAGTGGGTGGAGCGGAGTGCGTGGCAGAGCGGTTTCAGGGACGAAGATAAAGTTGCGTTGAGCCGCAACCTAGCGCATTGCCGCATCGACTCGTCATTTCATTGAACTTCTCAGGGCCTTCGTACTCACTCGTTTTTTCTTTCTTCTGTGCTATTTCATCCACGTTCGTGTTGTTGCCTAGCTCGTACCCACTAGGCGTGTCATGTTCTCTTCCACTTGACTGTTTGCTGCTTGATTTTCAGTCACATCTGTGTTCCCTGTAGTCTACTGAGCAGGTATTTAAGTACAGTCTACTTTAATCATGATGTGATTAAGCTTTCCTTATGCAATAAGGACATCCTGGCTTAGGTGTTGGCGCAGAAGATGGGATGAAGCCAATTTAAGCTGGTGTTTGTCCATACTTTAGTTTCAACAGCAGCGTTTCAAGATGAGAACGCCAAGTTTAACGTTACTCTAGGGCGCTCTTTACGGCGCTCTCGGAAAACCATGCCAATTTGAGTCGTGACCCGAAGTCTCTACCATGGCGCATTTTTGTGACATCATTCCCATCCCGCTGGTTTTTATTGTGACCACGACAAATTTTCCTCCATTTCGAAAGTACAGACGGCTTGTGCAACGCATGATACCTGTAGCAAGGACACAACGTGTGGCTCGACACTTGCGCTTTCAATATGAGGACCACTATCTGGTTCTGGTGGACACTTGTTTACGCCGCTCTGGCGATTGCGGGCCTTCTACCCCGACGCACATTCAGCTTCTTGAACGATGATACGTTCGCGATCGAAGACTCGGGGAAGACATTCGTGGCCAGCAGCGGCCCTGAGAGCGCATGTGCAATGCTGCAGCCAACGATTAATAAATTTCTGCAAGACAAGCCAAAAGGTAAGTCAATTTACAGACCCTCCTGTCCTTATTCCTTCAAGATCGCTACGCGCAGGAAAGGGGGCTAGTGCCTCACTTTCTACTGAGGTCATTGCTGAGACTCATGAACAGCCCTCCCAAGAGTGCCAGCAAAGCTTGCCTTCGACTGTTTGCAATCTGTTCCAAATAAACCCGACCCTGCCAAAGAACTGCTCAAAAGCTTGAAGACGTATGTGCAGCTTCAAAGTACACTTCCTTTTCTTAAAAGCCCTCCGACGTCGTACAAACTTCCAGCAGTCGACATTGAAGGCGGCTTCCAATCAATTGGAGACAAGGTAGCCAACAACAAGTACCAGAGCGAGTATGACTTCCAATTGGACATTCTCGACCTGATCTCGTCGGCTCACGATGGCCACTTTGTCTTCCGGGGCGATATGTTCAAAACATTCAGTTTTCGGAACGGTCTAGTCACTGATGTGGTCTCAATATCTCGCGACGGGGTCGAGGTTCCCAAGTTATACCATCTCAGTACGCCACAAGTCTCTAGCGAACCATACTTTTACTAACAACATCCAGAGCAACTTCGCCAGAACGCATCCGCACCAGCCATTACTAAGATCAACGGCAAAGATGCCAACGTCTTTATTGCAGACCTGAACCTCAAGTACAGTGGTCTTCAAGATCCTGACTCACAGTGGAATTCCCAGTTCAATTCATACGCAACCAAGCAGAATTCTATGATCTTAGCTGCCTCGCCCATTTTTCAAGGCCCGATGCTCACTCTGACATATGAAAATGGCGAGGAGCGCTCTGAAGAAAGTGTTGCTGTTATCCGTCCGGGCACCAACTTTACCGACATAAAGAACGGCGAGGACTACTACAACAAATTCTGCAATCCTGTTATGGTCTCTACGAACGTACTGTCCGAGGCATCGAACATAAGGACGCAATCGATAGCCAAGAGCCCAATGGCGCTGTCGCCGATGGTCACGCCTATAGACGGCTATCCGGTCCCTGAAGTTCGGGACAAGGGCATCAACGCGACTGCAGGGTATTTTCTGAACGGCACTGGATATGACGACGTAGCTGTACTAGCTGTGTCTTCTTTTGCGCCGCCGGAGACGGTCGACAGCTTTGCATACCTCAATGACTTTCAACAAACGGTTGAGAAATTCCTGGCCGCCAGTCAAAAGGCTGGGAAAAAGAAACTTGTCATCGACGTCACTGCCAACGGCGGTGGCTTCATTCTTGCCGGATTCGATTTGTTCGCCCAAGTAAGTGTTATGGGTTCGCCCAACTTGCACTGCTGACTTCTGCTGTAGCTTTTCCCTACTGTCAGCCGCTTCCAGGCAAACAATTTGCGCCTTCCACCCAGTGTCAATACTCTCGCGCGGCTCGCTGCTTCTATTCCTGCGGACTTCAAACCCAAGACCCCCGAAGAGAATAAGGCTCTGGGCAACCTGCGCGGAAGTCCTATTCTCAGCAATCTCCTCCCAAAAGGCGTGTTCACACCAGATCGCGTAGCCTTCACTTCTTTGGAGCAGGTTCTACGCCCTGTTGTATTGAACGGCGACAACTTTTCTGCTTACCAGCAGATCCCAATGGATCAACCAGATCCTCTCTTTAACCTCACTGGAACCGGCCCCCGGACTAACCCGCCTGCGAGTGTTTTCACTCCGGAAAACATCGTCCTCCTCACGGACGGTACCTGTGCATCTACTTGTACCATCTTTTCATATCTCCTCATACTCCAGATGGGCGTGAAGACTGCGGTGATGGGGGGTCGGCCTCAGACAGGGATAATGCAATCGATCGCAGGCGTCGAAGGTGCCCAGCTCTTTTCATATAACGACATAACTATCGATGCAACATCCGCTCTACTGTTAGCGCCCGAGAATCAGAAAGCTGAGCTACAAAACGGCGATCTTGGTGAGCTAGCTAAAGCATACGCCATAAAACGCGCCGCGAACCCCAAAGCCGCCGGCGCCGTTAACGGTAAAAACGCTTTCGCCATGTCCAACGCCACGGTACCGTTGCAATTCCTCTGGGAGCCTGCAAACTGCCGGTTGTTTTACACATACGAGACACTTACCCAGCCAGAGGCTGCCTGGAAACGTGTCGTCGATGTGACGTTCAACAATCGCCCGCAGCTGTGTGTTGCCGACAGCATTGTGCCGGCTAGCAAGCCAGCTACAGTCGACCCCTCTTTCCAGCAGAGCGCGAAGGATTTGGGCCTCAGCAAAGGTGGATAGACTGAAGAGCGTCATTGAGATACGACTGAGGTTCTTGTGAGGGTAATGGAGTTCACGGGGCGTCTCAGGTTGTGTAAATACTGCCAGTGCAGCAAAATCTAACCAGCGAAAGGACTGGGAGCTCTCCAGCCCCCGACGCCCAAATCAGGGCCCTCTCGCGGCACATTCAACTTCGATATGATATCAGTACTAGGCTGAAGTGCTTGCGATCAATCCGGCTGGTCGTTTTGGAGTGCCTTATTAACACCGGGCTGTATTGTTGTATTGAGGTTGACGATGCGGCAAGCGTGCGGGCGTCGAGAACTAGAGAGGCCCGACATTTCTGAGACAGGTTGACTGCAAAGCAGATCGTTTCTGGATAGATTAGTATGGAAGCGATTATTCTGGGTAAGGTTTTAAGACTTGCAGGTACGGTGACCGAGGCGCAGACGAACCCCAGTAGGTGGCATTGCAGGGCTCAGCGGGTCCAATGCATTTGGAGGCCGTAGCCAAGGGCAGTTTAGAAAATCTTACCGGGGTTCATTGGTCATTAATATGTGACTCTGTCTCTAGAAGACCGTGTGCATCGATGTCGGTTGTCGTGGATAAGTACAGACCAATCGATCCAGACGCCTCATGAAGTTGCTGCAATATTCTCGGCTCGTTGTGCAGACGGTGTAAGACGCGACGCTGTAACACGCAGGTTTAATCCAATCAAGAGAGCCAGTGGAAACCCCGTCAGGTCCAGGCGGGAAGCTGCCTGCAGGCTGTAGCGCCACAATCCCGGAGACATGACAGATATAAATTCGCTGAAAGACCCTCTGTTTTTCTTCTATACTATATTCTTTGCGTTTTACCTCAACAGTATCGTTCGCTCTAAGATGCCATGGATAGCGATCCAATTGAACTGGGCGACGTCGGCAAGCAGGAAGAGACTCATTGCGAAGCGGCTAGTCACAATGAAACCAACAATTCGAAGAAGACGTAGGAACCATTCTTCAAGACTTGAGCTTCTACAATTTCATATAATTAAGTCTGACGATGAATAAGGCCCATCTATTTCAGCATGTTTATTCCAGAGGAGAAGGACGACAAAGATAACACCACAGAAGCTGCGCGGTTTGAGGCAATGAAGCTCATTGATCTGGGTGACAGCAAGACGTCGGACAAGCTTGTTGGGAAGTGCGGGTGGATTCACATACCCGCCAATGATATTGACAGAGCCCAAGTCACGCCTCTAACCATGTCACAATGCTGCGAGAAGTCAACTAATACTTAAGTCGTAGGCGTGCATCAAGATCTTGGCTGGAACCAAAAACGCCGAGTTAGTACGGGAATCATGGGAGCGAAAGCTTCGACCAAGGATACCCGATCTTCAGACACCTTTGCCGACACATGCGTGGAGCATGAGTCCGTCCGTAGAGTGGGTCGCGGATACGTCAGTTGACGAAACGCAAATCATGGAAATATTCGTTGCGTTTCGTTCTTGATTTACGTCCTCCCGATGCTAACTGCATATACATAGACTACGTATTTGAATTGGGAGTCCCACAAAGTTCTCACATCGAAGCTCACGAACGACTGCACTCGCTTTAGGCATCAACGAAGAACATTGGACCAATCTTACTACTCGGGATTAGAAAGTACGACATCTCGAGACGCAGGCCAGACCGTGTCAAAGTGGACAGGAAAACACATACCAGAAAACGGACACCGGGAAGCTGTTGAAAGCAGTCTTCTAATCATGGTAAATCAACTCTGGATATGGAATCTGGGTCACGGTACGCGCACGTTTTGGCAGATTACTACTATCAAGATGGTACATTGGACTTCCTTGCTTACTTAGTCCCCAGGAAGGCTTGTTACCCGCTGTCCATTTTACGATCCTGAGCTAATGGAGGACACTCAAATATCTTCCGCCGTGGACGTCATGTCGTCGTTTATTCTACAGCTCGGCGACAGATCTGAACGCGGTGCGTTCGACCATGTTGCTGAGCTACTCAGCCATGCTGCCACGACAATATTTCGAGTTACTCAGGACGGGTTTGGAGATCCATTAGCAATATATCGGTGGGCCATAGCGAACAAGGTTTGTGGCTTTGAAAGACACCGCACGCAAGGCATGGGTGAGCTGATTCCAGAACACTGCAGACTGCTCGTCACACTGCGTTGCTTGAAACCTTTTGGGAACGAAGAAAAAACCGAATACCCGAGGGACTGTCTGGGGAAGCGGCTGAGGAACTTGAGTTGGCCCTCGAGCTTACAGACATTTTAGACGAGTTGAACATAATGAAGCGATTTCTCAACCAGCAATATACAACTTTTAGAGAAATCTATGAGACATGGCTGGGCCGTTGGAGTGACAGTCCACACATAGAGATCGAATCACGCAAAGCTGAGGTCGAAGGGCTGATTACCGACGCGGAGCGAACGCACAAGATGGTATGTCACAACCAGTCTGACCTATTGAGCAGCGATGCCTTTCGGACCCGTTCAGAGTATGCTGACTATGGACAGGTGATCGAACTCCTGGATCTCGAGCAAAAGGCAGCGAGTCTTGGGGAAGCCCAGACCACCTCTCAGCAAGGACGGGCAGTGATGCTATTCACAATCATCACCATCATCTTCGTCAGTTTGGCTACCGGCCTATGCTCAGTAGCTCGCTAATTATAGTAGCTCCCTCTTTCATTCTTTGTGTCATACTTTGGCCAGAACGTGTCAGAGCTCACCGGCGACCCCCAAAATCCGACCTCCGGGCAGGTCTGGAAAATCGCAGGTATGCCCCCCACCAGTTGAAGACATCTGTGAAATAGCGCATAGACACACACTGACATCTCTGATTTCAAGCACCAATATCTGTGGTAGTCATCCTCTGCTCACTAGCAGTCGCCTTCTTCATCATGTACCCTAACTCCGCCAAGTCATGCCTGCGCCGCAAGAAGACCAACAAAACCGTAGTGTGATCACCCCGTCTGCCGATTTGACCCTCCCGAAAGCGATCTTGGAAAGGAAAATTGCCGTTGGCGACTGGTTGCCAGTGGACGGGAGTTGATGGAGCAATCGGGCCTTCTCATTTTGTCCGCAATGCAAACCTTTGTTTCCTTGGTTGTTGCCATGAGATTCTGCTGTCCTGTTATGTCGTTTAGTATCGCTTGCAAAAATTTCAATACACTGGAATTCGATTCTAGAAGCGAAATGCAAAGGTGGACTCTCACTGAACGACACAAGACATTGAACCACACTTACCCGCCCCACTCCATCCCGCAAAACCACGGCCCCACAACACTCCCGACCCGGCCGGTCTTCCCCATCCCCAGCGCTCCCCCTCTTCCCTCATAACCGACACCTCAAACCCAAACACCCTCCTATGAACGAACCAACTCATATGTCTCATTCAAGCCGCCAGCGCAAACTCGTTGGCAAACCCAGCCTAGCCTAGCCTTATCTTCCCCAACCCTACAACCCTCCAGTCCAAGCAACAAGTCCGGCGGTCCCATCTGACCAATCAGCCCCACCCACGTCAAAACCCAGCCATCCTAGCCTTAGTCTTTTCTCTAGACTACCTACCCTCGAACGATACACTCCAAGAATCAAGATCACGATGCGACTCTACTGTCTCAGTTGAGCATGTTCTCAACCTGGCCGGACCTAGAACGACGCAAAACATCACGATTTGGTCCAGTTCGACGTGTTGTTGGGGTTCACTTTCTTTGTGGGTGTGAAGCGGGGAGGGTGGGTCGGTAAGGCTGACGTGTTTGTCTGTCTACGGGATCTGTGGGGGGGAAGAGGGGGGATTCTTCAACGGACTTCGTGTTTTATCTGACCTGTCACTCTCGGTTGATGTCTAGTTGAGGAAATTTGAGAGTCACTTTGCAAGAAAGTTGGTAGTGTCGAGCAATGGCAGTTCTTTTTGTCTTCCCATGCTACCCTAACTAATCAAGCCAAATCAGGCCAGACGCTATTTAATTGTAACCGCGTCAACTCTTCCCAACGCCCAGTGTATGAACCAGTGCCGTGTTCGTAACACGCGAACGAGTCGATGCTTCAATCTCAAGACTCAGTTGCTGAACTTTTGTGAATCCCAAAACCATTGTCCCCAAGCGACTGTCCGGCACCCCCATCGCTGCAGCACGGTAAAGACCAGCGCAACCGATTGAAGCGGACGGCAGAGGCTAGCCCCGGAACGTTAGAGGCGGCGCTGCATCACGCGCTTGCCCAACGAGGACTTTCCCTGTCCCACGCCGGGGCCTTTCCATCCCATGACCAAAACACATATCCCATATCCTTCTAGACCCACTCCGTCGTTTGCTGGAGGTCTCTTGGTTCGGCCGCGAACAAGAAAGCAATCTCAGCAAGGAAAATAAAAACACAAAAAATCAATGTCGATAAATCAGCCGCTGGTGGAGGTCGAGAATGAAGGCGCGAGCGATTATGCATTAAAGGAACTCCTTGTATGCCGTCCGTTCCTATGTACCATCCGGAAAGAAAAGTCGTTTCCCTCGACGCTGCGTTGAGCTCATCAGGTATGGGCAACGAAAGACTGAAATGCAAGGCTGTTTTTCCGTTCGACTCCGAAATCCCTATTCGTATGCTTGGATTGTAGTCAAATCGGTGTGAGAGCCGAGGACTGCGATAACTCTTTGAACGCCCCGCGATGCCGTGGCCGTGCGCGGCCGGAAGAGTTGAAATGCTCTGAACGCCGATGACCGAAAGATGAGCTCAAAAAAGTTGGATCGAAAAACATTCGAGAAACGTCAAATGACAAGTCCGTCGTGAAGGTGCGACGGTGGTGTGAGAGTGCGAGCAAGACTGCTATTAACCCCTAATTGCTGTCGCGGCATGAGTCTCGGTGTTGAACGGAAAGCGCTCCTGCAGCTGCTGGGCGTACGGATAATCATTCGGCGACGTACCGGCGAAAGGAAAGCCACCCACTGAGGCGACCGGAGAGGCCGACCTCATAGTTGCTGGGGCGGAAGCCTGACTCGGACGCTGGTTCGCAGTTCGTTCTAGATGGGGTTGGCTGAGTGGGGAGGCGGCCGGAGATGAGCCATAGGGTCCCAGTTGCTGAAAATAAGGGTTGGGATCCCGAAGGTGGAATGCGTGGTGCTGGGCGGGGCCGGCATGCTGAGCATGGTGGGCCATGCTGGGGCTGCCGTTCGAGCTCGAGCTGGTGCTGTTGGATCCTCGGGTAACGAAACCATCGTCAGCTCCGTCAAACTTCCCGCTCTTAAGGGTGCCGTCAGTGATCTGGGGGCTGGACTGCTTGGAGCCGAACTGTTGAGAGCCAAAGTCAGTACATGCTTTTCGGGCTGAGATTGGGCGACCGTTGATGAGAGTGATGATGAGAGTGATGATGAGAGTCGATGAAAGGGTCGTGCATCTGTGATTGTTGACCAGGAGTACGTACAAAGCAGTATTTGTTGACCAATTCCTCGTACGAGGACGAAGCGATCATGGCGTTGGGGGAGTCGTGGCCAGAAGCGGTCGGCAAGACGGGCTTGACAGCAGGGGCGGTGGAGGTGGCGGTCGGGTTCGGGGTTGGCCTGTGCTGTTGGGGTTGCTGGGCGGGGACCTGGATCTTGCGATGGCTCTTCATATAGAGACCATCGGCATTGCGATCCTTGCCAATGTTGTCCTTTGCAGCCTGGACCGCAGCAGAGAGAGAGGCACCAAAGTCGTAGCGGTTGGCAAAAGCTTGTCCGCTGGGCGCTGACAGACGGCTCGAGAGGTTATCGCTAGCCAGGCTGCCAGTGGACTTGTTGCTCTTGAGGCGAAGGCCAGCATTGGGGCCTGACTCGCCCAGGTACTCGTGGATGGGCTGGTCAAAGTGGATCTTGCCCTGCTCGCCAAAGTCGTCGAAGCCGACGGGCATAGACTTGGGGCGAGGATTGGACGAGGGGCTCGCACGACGGTTGCTGCGGGGAAGCGCAGGTCGGCTGGCGGCGCCCTGGAGCCCACGCTTGCCGTTCTGGGGCAGGTACTTCTTGCGGAAGTCAACCTGAAAGTTGGTGCCGTTGTTGCTGTCCCAAAACTCTTGGCCGTTTACATTGTAACGAATGCAGAAAAACAATGTCTTGCTCTCGAGGTTAGCCAGGTCGGACAGCTTGATGGAGAACTGGAAGCGGTCGTGAGAGACACCGCTCTCTTGAGGGCGGATCTCGTGGGAGTATTCGGCGCCAACTTCCGAGGTAGTCTTCCAGTAGTCTAGGGTGAATCTGCAAGTGACAGACTTCTGGAATGCCAGGTTGGCCACGCAGACGGAGCCCAGCAAGCTCTTCTGGTCGCTGGACAGCCACACCCTCTCAAGGCGGACAGGCAGTGACTTTCTGATGGGAGTGTCGGCAGGGTGGTTCGCCGCCACGATCTCCCACTCGAATGGGGGGGATCGAGAGGCAGGGCGCTGCTCATCGCCGGGGAAGGGGTACTCGGTGTCACTGTCGTAGGCGTCAACAGGCGAAGAACCGGCGCTGACAGCAAGCGGTCTGTCGACCTGGAGGAAGTGGCGGACATGTTCGAGGTGGGAGTCGAAGTGGACCGCCTTGGAGAATGTCGGAGTGCCAGGCATGCTGGAGGGTCTGCGGCGGGAAGGCGGCCTAAGTGCGGGGCGAACAAGCTCGCCTGACTTCTTCCGCACCATCTGTGGCTTTCTGGGTGCTTCCTCATCGGACTCCTCCTCAGAACCGGTCAGGGATGCATCTGCAGACTTCATGACAATCTTGGGCTCAGTGCTCGATCTGGAGTGGCCCACCCGGCGGCCGACAGTCTTGGCGAGGGCGTCCAGAGCACCGGTGCTAAAGCTGTGTGTGATGCCATCGTTGGTGACGAGTGCTAGTGTCGGTTGTTGTGATTGTTGCTCGGGCTTCGGGCTGGGCGATGCCTCACGGTGGACCGGAATCTGGCTGATGGCATCCTTAAGCTCCTTCAAGTTTTCGATCTGTCTCCCTCGCTGTGCACCATCCTCCTCTTCGCTGCCAGAGTCCGGCGGGGAGATGATAGCTCCCTTAGGCATACCTCGCTCATCCGTCAGTGGCGGCGGTGATTGTCTCACGCTGCTGCTCGTTGCCATACCCTTAAGATCGTCCGACGTGCCTGGAGGAGTGGGCTGGTTGGGGGTGCCATTCGGTGCCCCCGTCGCGGCGGATGGTGTCCTCCTGTGCTTTGTGAGGTACGATGCTGACCTTGGTAGTGATGGTCTCGGGCTGGACTGGAATGACGAGCGGCGGCTCACGTCGGGCGAGGACGGTGCTGAACTTGCTGGCGAGCGGTGGGAGGGCGGTGTGTAAGGCATTATGGATGCCGGTTATGTGATGGGGTAAGAGATATAGGTCGTTGATGTCGTGCACCCGGCACGTAGGGCTGTGGCGGCTCGGGGATGAGGTTGAAAAATGCAAACTGGTATCAATTCATGCGATTGGAGGGAGCGGCCGAGGACGAGGGGCGGCTTTAGGATTAGGATCTGTAGGATTGGAAGGTTCTCGTCAGCCCGGTCGCGGCCATGAAGTACGGAGTTATCAAGTCGAGTGAGGAAATTGGAGCGAGTGCATTGGCTCCGGTCGAGTTGGAGTAGGTAGTTGAGAGTAGGGAAAAGAGACGGTGACAGGGAAAAAAGAAGGCGCTGAGGCAGTAGGTGCTTCGAAGTAAAGACTACGGAAAAAAGGTGCAGAGATAGGAAACAATTAGAGATGGAGGTGCAAAGGAAATCAGGGCAGTGATGACGATAGGTGTTTCTTGTGTTCTTTTTTTGCTTTTTTTTGGTGTTTTTCTGCGTCGTGGTTGACCACTTACATGGATGGAGAGGAAGTCGAGGGAAAGGACGTGGGCGAGCAAGAGTTTTTGCACTGGCAATATTCCAGCAACAGATGCACAAAACTCTTGTTTGGCGACGAGGAATGTCGGTAGCTGGGGAGGAGGGTCCCGTGGAGGAAGCCGTCAACGCACGAGGAATGCAATGACGAGCGTAGGAGGCGGCCGAGGTGTCTCGTAGAAGGGGCCGATGGAGGGCGAGACGACTGCGGATCGGGTGGGTAGAGGTCCTTCGTGGGTTTCTCTGGATTTTTCGTGGGGCGAAACGGGGAAGGCAGAGGAGACCAGCAATGTTGGGGCGTATTGCTGTCGAGGGTCAATCCTGCAATGCCGTGTTATGTCTTTCGATCTTTCGTTTCTTCTTTCTTGTTCGTTCCTGCGTATTCTTCTCGAGTCGTCAGGAGAGGATTGGGTGGTGGAGGTGATGGACGACGAGGTATCGACTTTGGTGTCTGGAGCACACAAAGGTTAGAGAGAAGGCGAAGCTGGTGGGCGGCTCTGGAGGGGACGGAGTGGTTTTGAATGGCAGCAGTCCCGAGCACCGCGACCGCACGCAGCAGGGAAAAAAAAGCTATCAGGCAGTTTCTCACACTAGCGTGCGGCCCCCCCAGCAGGTACCTCGTCTCTCTCTCTCTTTTGCTGAGAGAGAGTGTGTGTGTGTCTGTCTCGCTCGCTTTCTCCAGGCCCCAAGCCTTGACTGGGGGGCTGTTCCCCGGCGGCGGGAGTCGCAGTAGCACGTACCTGATGGTCAGGAGCACCCCTGCAAGTGCGAAAGACGGCGAAGGACAAGGATGGGGCGAGTGTGGGCGAAGATGGCGGCAGCAGTCGACGAGAGCGAGGACTTGGAGGGGGGTGTGAGAAAGGAAAGGTAGAGGTAAAAACGACGAAGATGGATGTGTGCAATGTCGCCAGGAAGGGCCGGGGGTTGATGGCGTGGACGTAGGGGGTGCGTGTGGCAGGGCGTGGACACTGGGGAGAAGAAGAGTCGAGGCGAAAAGAGTACGTACTGCATGCACCACCACACTACCTCCACCACGACCACCACAGTGTCGCTCGCTGCTGCTCTGCCTCTGCGCTTTTCTTGCTGGGGAGGAGCAGGAAAAAAAAAAAAAAAACAGAGGGAGGGGTGGGGCAGGCGAGGCAACGCACCACGCCGCTGCACCTCAGCACCTCAGCGTGGGATAGTGGCACGGAGACGGCAAGCCGGGCGGGCTGGTCGCTGCTGGTTGCGTTGAGGACCGACTGATGGGCTGCCACTGGCACGGAATCGCCATTGAATGCTGCCACTGCCGCTGCCGCTGGCGTTGCTGGTAGCTTTGATAGCTTCGTTACCGCCGCGTCTCTCTGCTGCAAGAGGAAGTGGAGGTGAGAGGAGGCATGGTAAGTGCGGTGGTGGTGGTGGTGTTGGTGGTGTTGGTCTTGCACCTTGGTGTAGGTTAGGTTGTTGGTGAAGGTCTTCTCCGGTAAAGGTGAAAGGTACACCCCGGCCCCTTCACTTGCACACGCACCGGCAAGACAGATACAGAGACAGCCAGATGCTCAACCACGAGCATGCGTCTGCCAGGCCAGGTATCGATGCCGGTGGAGATGATGCTCGCAACCAAGAGGGGAATGCCGTTGGCGTGATGGTGGTGCAAAACGCGGGAAAAAAGGCGAGAGAAAGAGAGAGCGAGTAGAGACCACCGGCGGCTGGATGCAGTCACACCTGAATCCCTCCAATGCTTTACAATCAGGGCCCGAAGGCCGGTCTCACAGCTTCTGCGCCGTTTCTCTGGGTGCGGGCACAGATATCGAGGCATGTAACAATCCAACAAGCCCGGCATCCTTGGTGTTGAGAGAGCAAGACGCCGACCGACGGACGGGTACGGCAGTCGGGGCAGGGAGAGACAGACAGACACATATCTGTTGCAGCTGTTGCAGCCATTGTCCGGCTCTGGCGATAGCCTTGCTGGTGTTAATCCGCGATGATGTTCCCGGCTGCGAAGCTCCCGCTGCCGTTGCGTGCTGCCCCCCCCCTGTCCCATTGCCAGTGGTGGCCCCGCCTCCCAGATCGAAAAGCAACGTCCTGGGTGCGGAGGACGTTGAGGTTTCTGGTAGAGTCAAACTAGATCAGCGATGACCGGGCCTGGCTAAACCGCGTACCCCCATGCCACGATGCCGAGAGCAGAGAGGTGGAAAGAAAGCTGGCCAGCACGTTGAAACATCCAATGGCGAGGTCAGCCTGGAGCTATGCACAGAAACCAAGGACGAGTTCATCTTGTTGTAGCAGGTAAGCAGGCAGAGCGCGTGTTGTGTTGTGCCATGCTGCTGCCGCTTGCTGGTTCTGCGTCCCTGCCTTGCTTCTTGGTTTCCCTTCCCTGCGGTGCAGTGGTGTTCTGTGCTGAGAGAGCTCCCGCCGTCGCTTCTCGGTCAGGATCAGGTCCAGTCGGAGGCTACAAGCAGTCCGGGCAAGGATAAGAAGAAAAGAATCCATTGCCCGGTAGCACACCTCAAGCCAAACCAAACACCACCACCAACCACACACCGGCCACACGCTCACAGTGCACAGTACAGGAAACAGCGACCGGGGGTTGCGACGGACAGTAAAAGATCTTTGATGGGACGGTACAGCCAGACTCCACCTTCGCAAAAGGGGTGGGGCGGTTAAGAAACGCTAGCAGGGGTGATTGAGGGTACGTACCGCGTGGCTTGAAGGTGAGAAGACGGGCAGGAGCAGGGACAGGGGATTGAGCCGGCTTAGCGTTGGTGTTGATTTAAAATAATGGTCCCATCATTCCCTCATCAGTGAGCACCACCAGCCCGAACGAGAGGGCGAGAGAGCGAATTCGTACAACGCTGCAGGCATTGGCATTCGCAATCCACTGCGCTGCACTCCTCCTCCTCCTCCTCCTCCTCCTCCTCCTCACCGAAGCCTCGATGTCTGTAGCTGTACTCTGTGACTCTAGTCGCGAATAATTAAGGGTATGCATGTAGTAGTAGTAGTAGTCAGTACAACTCCGTAGGCTTCTTCGCCTGACTCTGTAAATACCTGAGGCACGCCGACTTACACGCAACCATGGCGATGCAACGTTGAGAGTTGCGAGTTGCCAGCAGCAGCGCTGACTATCATGGTAAGCTATGCAGTTGCAATATCAACACATCACTATCATAATACTGCGTATTCGTCCCGACTCCGGTCTGAACCAGTATCAGGTCTCGTTACAACATCGACAGAGTCGACGAACGGGACGGGACGAAGGGGGAGACGACTGCTGAGTGCGTCTGAGGCCTGATGCGTGCCTCGACTCTTCTTGTGCCGGCCAGATGCGATGCCAGGCGATCCGGGGTAAGGCGGAAGCATGGGAGTGAGGCCTCTACGATGCCAGTCGTTAACTATGCCCGCAGCCAGAGAAAAGCCACCCGGCATATGGCACAGGAACGCGTCTGCGGTCACCGGCAGACATTGGCTCCTGGCGTCGGCCTGCCCCCGGATCGTCATCCTGAATCAACTACCCCCAGGACCCCGAACCGTTTGACGTTGTTCTCATTTTACAATTGGCGTCTGTCTTGATCGATCTCGGCTGCGTCCCTCTAGCCGAAGCAGAACCCAAGTTGGCAGGGTGAAGTGTGAGAAGATGCTGTTTCCATCGTCATCGAGCTGGGGACGGAAATTGTGGCGTTGCGTGTCTCTCGTCGCTTCCAAGTTGCTGGCTGGCTGTCTGCGTGTACTGCGTGCCAGTCCGGCACTGTCCCCTTTTCGGCCGCAACCCCCCAGTCTAGCAGCAAGCAGCAGGCAGTTGACGCAGGCACAGGCAGGAACGGCACGGGCGGGCATGGGGCATGGAGGTGTTTTGAGCCCTGTCTGCCTCGCCTGCCCTGTCTACTGCCCTGGCCGGAGTGTTCGCCGTGTCCGTACTGTACGGCGGCGACACCAAGCCCGCAATGCGTTCAAGACACACAAGGCAAGAGCTCTTGTACGAGCCGAAACAACTCTCAGCCCAATAATCCTCCTTTGTGCAGCGTTGCTTCCTCATCGAGTTGGAAATCGACACACGGATGGGGAAGCTGTCTGGTGAGGCGCAAACTTCGTGAACCGCTGAGACGGCAGGCAGGATGATGTCATTGTTGGTGTTGGTCCAGAGACGGTTGGGCAGGTGCACCTACCATCTTCATCCACCTGCCTGTGCTGCCATTCGTTGAGGGCTGACCACCGCTCGGCTTACTATGGAACGTGCCTTCCTCGCGCAATCATCGTGAGTTTCCAGGTGGGGGTGGCAGAAGGCACTACCTTCCCTACCTACTCCGTCACCAAGCAGGTGGGAAGGGACGGGCGGGAGCTTACTAACGAGCATTTGACCGTCCCGCTTGATACGCACCCGACTTCCCGTCTCCATCGCATTATCACTGTCGTTGATTGTCCTTGTCATTATCTCCAGCTCCATCACTTATCGCCAACCGTCCACTTCAGCTCACCCCCCTCCGTCTCCCCATGGCCTTATCTCTTGT